AACTCAGTTCGTTGTTCTTCGGCGAAGAGAGCAATTGATAATATCATCTTCCCATCTATGAATTGTTTGTTGGTTTTCTTAAATCGCAGACCAAGTCCACGAAGGATATCTTTGAGTTCCTGAATTGTAAATTTTCCATAAAACGACAGGAGCTGCCCAAGGGCTATTTGATTCGGCAATGATGCCTTTTTCTCTCATATTCTCTATTTCCTTATCGATTCTGTTCCGCTTAAGTGGACCTACATGATATGGGGGTCTATTAATAGGTTTAGTATTTTCTTTGAGTTCGATATGATGTTTTACTATGGCTGTACGCCCCACTTCATCAGTAAAAACTTTAGGGTACCTTTTCACTAAACTATTTATTTGATCTTTCTGTTTCGCATCCAAATTACTCTGTGATAAATCTGGAAGACAAGCGCCGGGATTTTCAAGTATATCCTGTTTATGATGTAATGCGTTTAATTGATGTTGGTTTAGGCGTTCGATTATAGCTAGTTTTTGACATTGATGAATAATTACGGTATTTTTTGTAAAATTTGCTACTTGGAGGTATAAGTCCTGTTTTGGCACCATTAACCCGTTTACTGCCAAGGGTGTGTTACGCAATAGGTATCAGTGTTTGAAAATTCCTTGAAGGACTTCTGTGATTTTACTAGCACGTTAATCCAGTGGTAAGGTGGAATTTTAACCGATTCTGCCGCTTTTAGAGTATATGAGATTAAATTTGAGGATTTGTTCATCTGTATGTCGATATGCGAGGATTCTGGTTGTACGTCTGATTGGATTTTTTCAGGAATTTCAACGCGTTTATCTTTGCAATACACTGTGATGTTATACTTTTGAAGGAAGTCCATGCCGAGTATGCAAAAGTGTTTCAGGCGTGGTATAACATATGCTGTGTGTGGACAAATGACGTTATTAATTTTAATGGATAAACGAAGTGCCAATATGAATGGTAGAGGTGTGAAGTCAGCTGTACGAACAATTATGTTGCGGACTTTGAGACATTTTTGTATTGTTCTAGCGTCGATTTGTTCAAATGCTTCCTGACTGATGAGGGTTGCCGTTGAACCGGTATCAATCATGAGTCGCGCTGAGTGACCGTTAATCGCTCCGAGTATTTTTAAGGGCTCCACATCTCGAGTTAGGTCTTGAGCAAGAACCCCCACTGAATGGGAGGTTTTTTGGGCAGGATTTTTAGATACGGAATTTCGGGAGTCTCGCCACCTGGCCTGGGAAAGACTCCTTACTGGTTTTTGGATATTGAGGGGTATTAAGTGGTCTTTGTCTGCAGTATGAGGCATAATGACCCCACCGACCACATTTATGGCATGTTCCTTTTACATAGCTTTGTGAAGTTTGTGTTTGCAGAAAACGGGAAGCAGGAGGATGTAAGGAGGACTCTGCAATACTATCCCGTCTACTTGTCTCTTCTCTTCTAAGTTTCGTTGATAGACACTCCAATTTGTTACAGCCTGCTGATCGATGGTACCTCTTGTGTTCACCAGTTTGTTGAACGTTACCTAATTGTATATCACCACCAGAAGGGTCAATCCCTTTCACTCGGGAATCCCTGCCAATGAGAATCTTTCGCTAGACAGTACGCCCAGGCTCACGAAGAGAACTTTGTTAAAGTTTTCTTAAAAAATAATTGGATTATTGTTGTTTAAAATAATTGGAATGGGCGTCCTCGCAACAGTTATCAACAAAAAACTGTTTTTCATACCATTAATTAACAGTTTTGAACTATTACAGAAAACACCACAATTAAAACCACAATCACTTTCGCGCTCTCGGTCTCACTCTTATTCGAGGACTGGTAGTAAATCTCGACAACAACGTTGAACAAATATTAATAACAAAATAAACACCAACTACGTACAAAATATTTAAGACCAGATGCTATAAATTACGCTTTTAAAGAAGAAGAAGGGCGCGAACTCGTACTAAAGACAATTAATTATCATGATAATAAGTTCAAAATGTTCAAAAGTTACGTCATCTGAACATCGAGCTAAAATATTAGACACAATTAAAATAGCCAAGCAAATATCCACGATAAAAACAAAAACCGATGAATTAAAAAAACCCATCGAGATGAAACTGTATCCACCAATAATGAAAAATATGGAAATAAACATCAATTTCGTCAATAATCCTTCACTGGATATTGATACAGCTAACAAATTACAATCAAAATATGAGAAAACCTTAGCTCATTCAAAAATTGAAATATTAAAATTAATAATAACAAAAACTGAACATGAAATCGATAAACTAAATGAACAAATAATAGAAGAAGAACAAATAAAAAACAATAAAAAGAAATACCACAGAAATATGAATCCGTCATCAAAGCTTTAGAGACACAACAACAAATGTATACCAAAAAACAATAGATTTTTTAGAAGATTTAAAACAAGACCAAACAGAAAATTCATCAACAATAACCATAACAACAGTCAAGTTTCAACCAACAATACTGTTTACAGTTGTCTACAAAAGAAAGTAACATCTTAGAATTAGGTCCAAAATATATCTTCAACAATCCACAACAAACCCGCTCACGCGTACAACAGAAATTAACAACCATGAAAATAAAATTAAACAATTTACAAATTAGAAATCATATGACACCAAAACTCATAACAGTTCAATAATTCTACCAAAAAATCGAACAGTTATTGTTAAATATTCATCAAGCAACCTCACGAAAGATTCCCTTTTATGATCAACATCACCATATCATTAATACATTAAAGAAAAAAATATTCGATACCAAGACAATCATACGAAAGACCGATAAATCAAAAGTATTACACTTATGAACATCAAAGCAATACCAGTTAAAAAGTATGGATAAAACACAAGCATACAAAATTGTCAATGATAACCCATTATATGATATTATCAACCAAATTATCCATTTTTTACAAACATGGTTAACAAATAAATACATTACCACTGAACAGTACGAGAACCTATGGCCAGTACATAGAAAATACCAATTAGCACATCTTTATTATCTACCACAAGCACACAAACAAGGAACACCGTTACGCCCAATTTGTGCCTCGATCAATTCACCAACTGCACGATTGTCACAATTTTTAGATAATTTACTTCGACCATTATTTAAGCAATCAACATCAACATCAATTGAAAATGGAATATACATAGTACAACAATTAAAATCATATTCACGATCTGAACAATTTACACCGAAGACATTATTTATCACTTTCGACATCGTCGATTTATATACTATGCTAAATCACAACCTAGCAATATTTTATTTGAGAAGATTCTTACAAGAAGGCTTGCAATTAACAGCATTAGACGGAATACCAATAGACGTTATTATTAAAATATGTAATCTTGTTTTGAAAAATAACTACTTTTACTATGACAATAATTATTACCATCAAATTAAAGGAGGTGCAATGGGATCATCATTAACATTGTCATTAGCAAATATTTACATGAAATATTGAGTATACCGACATTTAGGCGCACGACATTGGGCGCAACGATAGTTGAAGTTCAAAAACACCCGTATGGGTGTGGGTGAGGGTGAGTATCGATGAAGACTAAAGAAACAGTGGTTACAATTGGACATAAGTAATATAGAAAAAAGCTCTCACAGCATAAAAAGTTTATTTAAAGAGAATTTTATCGTTTTGCAGCGTACTTTAACAAATGCACTACTTCTGTGTACTTTTGTCGTAGATGCGCTGGATGTCGTGCGCCCGAATGTCGCTGCGCCCAAATGTCGCGTGCCCAAATGTCTGGTAATCGTATATACTTGACATTTTCAACTAGATCGACATAGTGATTAATGAGTATTACGGACGTAGATGCACATTGTCTTCTGGCAACGTGAGGGATGGACATCCACATAGTAACTGATGAGTGTTACGGGCGTAGATACAATGAATGAGATACATGCAATGACTAATGAGTGTGACAGACGTACACACATATAGTGATGCTCCAGGGTGACGGACGTACATACAGATAATCACGTGGCAATGTGACGGACATACAAATAAACCATGATGAGATATATATTCTAGTAAGTAGTCTCTACTAACACTGAGGTTAGACTTAAATAAATGTTTCGATGTTTCGGTCATAGACCTTTTTCAAAATAGACCTAATTCATAAATAAAGTTAAAAATAGAATTCAAAAATTAGAACAACGTTAAGTTGCTTATAGATTAAACGAGCGGAGAACACAGTATAGGAGATGAAACAATGCAGATTGGACTGCCTACACAGCTGACTTCGGAATGAAAAAGAAGTGCGTATTTATATAAAAAGTAGAGAGAAAGAACGGAGAGAAAAATGTTATACATTTTCTATAGCAAGAACAGGTTGCTAGGTAACAAAAATAAGAGAAAAAATAATACATTGGCCAGAAAAAGCTAACAAATATAGATGGCGTTCAAACGTAGTGTAAAGAAAAAACAAAAACGAACCGCTCATGCATTATGATTGTATAAACACATTGACTGTTTGACAGTGGTTCTTTGAGACTTATCAATAATATTTCCTAATAAAATCAATCAATTTCCATAGTTTTCAATAAT